CACAATTAATTTCATAAACTATACAAATCTAACTAACATTTAAAATGACATTGTCAGAAAAAATCAAGGGAGGGGGAAATAAATTACACGAACAATTATATGAAACATAATTTTTGTTACTAGCCTTACCTATATTACATAAAAGTTTAATTTCGGAATGGATTCTTTTTGTTTTACTTTTAAGAATGATGTTGATAGTAGTCGCCAGGTGATACTGTTGCTTCGGCCGGGATTGAAACAGTCTGAATCATGTCTGGATACCCGGGGTGTGACCCAGCTCCGTACTAAAACACGGACAATACTTATTTAAAAATTTAAAAAAACTCAGTTTTTTTACGAATACCAAGTTCAATACCTGTTAGCTACAGGGAGCAATATCAATATTAATAAATTATTCTCTGTGTTGTTTTTAATTTTAACTGACTCATATAAAATAATTCGAATTAACCATTAGTCTATTGCTATTTATTAATGTGAGAGATATTTGTTAAATATCTTTGAACGTATACAATTAGTTAACTAACAGTGAAAACGCCCTAGGAATTCAAGAATCTTACCAATCCATTAAAATCAGCAATGCAGACAAATCAGTAGCGAGTTGTGGTATATACGAGTTATTTTGATCAGCTTGTGGAATAATCTGACAAAACAGACGTTTTTATGAAATAAAAATAAAAAAAATTACTATTATTAAACCATTAGTCATGTTTTAAGGGTATTTGTTTTCGGCGTGAAAGTTATACTAGAATCAGATAGGTTTATAATTATTTACTTTTTGGAGTTTTGCAAAATGATTCGGCGGAGCAGGTTGCGGCACCCAGGGCAATACGGAAATTGGAAAACCGTACGCGGGCATTGCCTGTGTAGAGTAATGGTGCTCAATATATTGTGCTAACATAGCAGGTATAACGTGAGTACCGCCTATACCGGTCGTGCCACTGCGAATCGAATTAGAGGTGACGGAGGTACTGGAAAACACATTTTATGTCAAACAACAAATGAAATCAAATTCTTAATCGCACAAAATAATAAATTAAAACTAATAAGACGATGGAAGATAATAATACCTTATATTAATCGAAATGGTTGTGTACCGTAAATATATTTCTAATGTTCTAAAAGTTGTGTCTATCTATGTATACGAATATATATATATATATATATATATATATAAAAGGCGTTTTTTAAAAATACAGAAAAACGCATCTACGCGATGCAGAAACCTAAAGAAGACTGGGGTGGTGACGTTTGGCCTGCGTGTTTATTGACGAAAAATAAAACTGCCGGTCGGGTATCTACAGCGCACGGGTCACGGCGCATTGATCGCAACGTACAAATCACAGCGCTCTCTGGTTACATTTCGTGCTATAAATATTTTTTTGTTTTTGCCGCTATAAAGTGGCACTATAGTAGTATGAAAAGGGCGGTTCTAAACCATTTATGATTAAGAATCAACTATTGTCCACCTCGTCATCGACCTATTTAGCCACGCCCCTTTAATGAGCTATACTTTAACACGACCGCCCGAATTACCCATCTCTTCGTCGACCTACACACCCCCTCCCTTTTTTAATATTTTTTTCAATATTTTCTATATGCACCACGTACTCGACTTAGGGTTATCATATACCTACTATTTTTGTACCTACATCGTTATCATGCACCCACTATTTTCATACCTACTATCATCATATACTTACCACCAAATACTACTATCACCTTCCCATACCCGCCGACCACACACACACATACACGCATACATCTATACATACCTATACACACACACACGCATAAACGTATACCCATACGTACCTATATACATACATACACATACACATACAAACTCAGAGGCACCCTATTATAATATACGCGGATTTCCCCCACGCCTCAAATTTAAATGTGGAACCGGGTTCGGGCATGATGGGCAAAATTGGTTTATGCTCACCATATATTTTTTTGTGTTGTTTGAGCGCCGCCTGCCCGCTCAATTTTATCCTCGGTCTGTCATCGAAAGACGTAAAGCACCTTTTACAAAAAACAAGCGAGTGCTCGTGTGCAGTTTTCTGTGAGCGTACGAGCCGGGAAAAATTTGATATGTATGTGTAATGAGATTTGCCTTCTATCCTATTATTTGTATAGGATATCGAAATGTTCCGTCTTCTCCACGTCTACTTTTTTTAGTGGAAACACGGTATGTATAGTTTTTTTGTTTTTTTCTTCTTTTTTCAATCCGTAAACATTTACGGATATGTTCGAATTATTTTTTTCGAATTTTTTAATGTCTATAAGCGGTGTCGGGAAAGATATCCCACCAAAATCATATTTATCTCCGTGTTCGGTATACTTTTCGTTTACTCGCTCTCTGTGTATATCCGTAACGTGTTTCGCCAAAATCGCCCACTTGAAACATTTCTCGTCATTATTTTGCGGGTCGATTATAGCTCGTTTATTCATAATATCGGTAGGTAGCGGAATATATGAATAGCCTTCCATAGGTGTATATTTATAAACACCTAATAAAACGCCGTCGATACTCTGTAACGAAAAGCCGCTACCCCGTCCTTGATATATATCTTCTTCTTTTAATAACTTTGCAAACTTTTCTTCTATAACGTCTTCTATTTCACTATCAAAGAAAATTTCCCTGGCTGAGATCTTGAACGCTCTATTCTCGGTGGAATTTTCAACATGCGGTTTATAATAGGTAGCTTCCAGCTTCAAATTAAATTTAATCGGATTGTTTTCTGATAATAACTTGAGAAGATCAATTAATGCTGGTTTGATGGAAGAAAGGAATTTTTTATAATTTTTGAAATTTCGGATATTTTTGGCATAGTACCATACGATCTTCCTCGAGTGAGACGTATCGATTTCGGTGAATCCGGGTGTGTTAACTAAGTCGATTCTAGCTTTCTTAGTATTCGCGGCAGTTTCCGTGTTCTTACGCTTCCTACCTACAGGGAAATAGAAAGAAAAAACTAATTAAAACTAATACCTATGTTGAGGAGTATAATAAAAGAAATTTTACTTTCGTCATCGAATCCTTCTATATCATTGATGGCTTCGTATACATCTGCTAACAACGCGTCATTTTCCTCGTCCATTGTCCAACGCACATTTATCGGTCCGGTGTTTTGTAACGAGTTGGATGGTCCGGCTTGTGGAATAATAATAATATTCGATGGCCCGGCTTGCGGGGCAATAGTCGGTAGGACGACTCCGTCTTCGTGATGCACAATTTTTATGTGTTGCATCATGTTTCCTTTAAAAGTAAACACTTTCGGGCACAACGCACATTGAAATTTAACATCCTCGTGTGTTTTGGCGTGACGAGTCATATTATGTTTCACGTTAAACACTTTAGTGCAACCGACGAACGTGCACGCGAACATATTTATTGATGACGAAAAATT